TGATAGAACAAAACTAACTAAAGGCAATAAGGATTATGCAAAGAGTGATTATTTCAATAACTGGCATTAAAAATGAGGAGTTTAGGTTCACAAGGAAAAAATAAAATGTTAAAGCAAACAATAATACCAACATGAGACAATACTGCCATCAAAATGAGAATGGCAAAAAGTATGAAGTAAATTGTAAATATATCAATAGTCTTCATGGGAAGTTCTTACTAGTCAATTGATAGTAGCAATATTGACTTTTATGTCCACGTGAGTTGGTTGACAAGTATAATGATTATAACCTATTAGTAAAATAGCTAAGTAATTGCTGTTAAGTATATAAAGTAAGTCTATTTCAAATAAAAATTGTATACCTAGGTTGCTAAAATAAAGTTATCTTAGAGAAAAACAAGTGTTACTATCAAAACAACTGTTACTTGCATGGAAAAGCAGGGAATCATATGACAGTAATGTATCAGAGCAATTAATATCCAAACAGCTGTAATATGAACAGAAAGGCAATGATGTCAAAGTAAATAACTTTTGTCTAAGAGAAGAAGACTAAAATATTTATAAAGAAAGAAATAAAATACATATAAAATATCTGAATTAAAATAAATCAATCCTAAAAGCTGTTAGAGACCAAGTCCAATGATTTCAGAAGTTCATATTAGCAAAGATTACATACAGGCCTGGTCCTGCTTCTGATCTGGTGATGCTGTCTGCTTCTGATCCTGGCAATGTTTAAATTTTAATTTGAGTCTTTCAGTTGGTCCAGTTAGGTTCCTTTGCTTTCTTGAACCGCAACAAGTGGATCCAAGCCTTAATTCTCTGTAATTTAGCAGCACAAGGATTAGTGAGAATCATCTGGTATAGTCCTTTCCATCGAGGCTCAAGAGAATCTTTCAGTTGATGTCTTTTCCAGTATACATAGTCTCCAGGCTGAATAGCTGCTTCAGCAGCTTCTATGGGCTTGTCTAAGTCAAAAGCCTCCTTGACTAAGAGTTATAAATGTTGGCATAATGTGTTAAAGCTCAACAATATTTCAGAAAACTGGTTTGTAAAAAGTTGGAATCAGTCCAAGCAGACCAATAATGGAGAGCCAAAGACTCCAGTAATAATTTCATATGAGGTTAGTTTATGTGGGCCAAGTGGTGTGGACCTTAAGTTTAATAACACTAATGGAAGCACTTGGGTCCAAGACAAATGTAAAGAGGAGGACAATTTAGCTAATTGGCCTTTAATCCCTCCACTTGTCCTCTCAACTAGACCAGACAATTGGGAATGATGTGAGAGATGAAGTCTCTGAAAAATGGAAGAAACCTTGCATAGGTCTTTTATAATCTGGACTGTTAAATGAGTGCCTCGATCACTGCAAAGAACCTTTGGGGCACCCCAGTAGGAATTATATTCTCCATTAATTTCTTAGCCACAAAGGAGGCAGTTGCATTTCAACTAGGGAAGGCTTTTACCCAATGTGAAAAACAGCAAATCATCACAAAAAAAAAAAACTGTCAAGTCAATTCAGACTCATAGCCACCCTATAGGACAGAGTAGAACTGCCCCATAGGGTTTCTAAGGAGCGGCTGTAGATTTGAACTGCCGACCTTTTGGTTAGCAGCTGAGCTCTTAACCACTGCACCACCAGGGCTCCACAAAGACATATTTCTAGCCATTTGAAGGGGGAAGCTGTATAAAACCAATTTGCCATTCCATCATAGGTCCAACAGGCAGAGGGAACCCCCCGGGAGGCAATTTATATGCTCTGCCAGCATTAAATCCAGAACAGATTGAGCAATGCTTAGTGACATGATTGGCAGCACTCCAAAAATGTCCCCACCAATGTTTTGATAAAATGTCAATTAGTTTGTCTCTTCCCAATGATGGTTTGCATGGCGAGTTCAAGCCAAAGGAACATGCGAAGATTTTGGGAGGACCAGATTTTGGCTGAGGTGTCCAAAACTCTCACAAGGCCCTTCCCAAATCTTGGTATCCCAATTTAAACAGCACCCCTCCTTTTCCCAATGATCCTTTTCTTCCTCAGAGGCTATGTTTTGATGACTTACAAAGTTATGCCATATAGTCCGATTAGCAGTATTGTCTTGTACAGAAGTGTCACCCTGCTCCCTTAAATCTGTACTGTGGCATTCATGGCCATCATCAGACATAGACGTGGCCTGGAAATAGGTGGAGCCCACCTGTTTGGCGACTTTATCAGCCAAACTGTTTCCTTTTATTTCCTTTGTCTGAGGGACCCCTTTTGGTTGATGGGCCTGTATTTTAATTGGTGCGATTACAGAAGGAAGCAACAAAGCTTCCAAGAGTCGCCCACTAAGGGACCATTTTTTATTTGACTCCCAGATGAGGTAAGAAAGCCCTTGTGTTTCCAAAGCATTCCAAAGTCATATACAACTCTGTAGGCATACCTCAAATCCATATAAACAGTTACTAACCGTCCAGAAGCCAGTTTGCAGGCTTGAGCAGGCACAATCAATTCAGCCTGTTGGGCAGAAGTGACCTCAGGGAGGGGGCCACTCTCAAGGACTTCGGTAGAGGTAGTCACGGCATGTCCTCCCTGATAATGATAACTAGCAAATTTTAAATAGGAACTATCAACAAACAAATGTAAATCTGCATTGTCAAGAGAGATTTCCTTTAAGTCAGGCCTGATAGTTAGCAAATGGTCTGTTAAATCAATGCAATCATGAGGTGGTCCTCTCTCCTCATCAGGCAAAGGCAAAAGGGTAGCAGGATTTAATCCCAGAATAGTATGTAGACGTATATGAGGAGCAGCTGCAGGGAAACCTTGTAGAAAGTCATTCTGTTGGCTGAAAGATGTTGGGTTAAGCCAGACTTAAGGCTGGCAGAAACTGCATGAGGGACATACACATCCAGGTTGTTACCTAACACGATATCAGCAGTAGTTTCCACGAATCGGGCAGTGGCTGCAACCGCAAGGTGGATACCCTCTAGCTATGGGGTACAACTGGACACTGTAATATCCAACTGGTCTCTTTTGTCCCCCATGTTTTTGGGTAAGGACCCCCAAGGCATTGCCATCCACCTTACGAACAAAAATGGAAAAGTCAAATGTGTAATTGGGGAAACCTATTACAGGGACATGCGGTAACGATTCTCTTAATTTGAGGACAGCATCCTCCCCGTCATCTGACAATTGAAAGGGATCTGGTTCTGAGTTTTTCACATATTGATACAGGAGTTGAGCTATCAGAGGAAAATTGGGTATCCAAGTGCAGTAATACCAGCAAAGACCCAAAAAGCCTCTCAATTATATTTTTGTCTGTGGTATTGGAAAAGCCAGTATAGCCTCCTTTCATTTTGGATCTTTTGAGACACCATATGCTGATATGATGTGACCCAAGTATTTAACAGAACGTTGGGCCAGGTAGAGCTTTTCCTTAGAGGCCTTGTGACCTCCATTAGCCACATGAGTTAAAAGGATAATGCTATCCTTTAGGCAGGCTTCCTCAGTAAGGGCACATTCAGGTAGATCGTCTATGTTTAGAAGCAAGGTAGAACCATGGATGAATTGCAAGGATTGCAAATCAGCCTGTAAAATTTGAAAGAAGTAAGTTGGGCTTTCAGTGAACCCTTGGGGCAAGACCGTTCAATTGTATTATTGGTCCCCCCAGGTGAAAGCAAAAAAGATACTATCTGGATACATTGGGATACTAAAGAAAGCATTGCACAGATCTACAGTAAAATAGGTTGCTGTCAAGGTGTCACGGATTGAATTATGTCCCCTAAAAAATGTGTGTATCAATTTGGCTGGGCCATAATTCCCTGTATTGTGTGATTTTCCTATATGTTGTAAATCCTGCCTCTATGATGTTAATGAGGGAGGATGGGCGGCAGTTGTTGTAGTAAAGCAGGACTCAATCTACAAGACTGGATTGTGTCCTGAGGCAATCTCCTGAGGTATAAAAGCGAGAAGCAAGCAGAGAGACAGGGGTACCTCATCCCACCAAGAAAACAGTGCTGGGAGCAGAGCACGTACTTTGGACCCAGGGTCCCTGCGTGGGGAAGCTCCTAGTCCGGGGGAAGATTGATGAGAAGGCCGACAGAAAGAGAAAGCCTTCCCCTGGAGCTAACGCCCTGAATTTGGACTTTTACCCTACTTTACTGTGAGGAAATAAATTTCTCTTTGTTAAAGCCATCCACTTGTGGTATTTCTGTTATAGCAGCACTAGATGACTAAGACACAAGAAAACATTAGATAAAAGCAGATGTGAATTAGGAACAACTGGGAATCTAGGAGTTACAATGTGGTAAATTGCCTACAAATCTTGAACAAATCTCCAACCTCTGTTGTTGGCCTTCCTTACTGGAAAAACAGGAGTATTACAAGGGCTAGTACATGGAATCATGAGCCCTTTAGCCAGGAAGTCCTGAATGATTGGAGTCAGTCCCTCCCTTGCCTCTGTTTTTAGGGGATATTGGAGTATCTTTGGCAAAGGTTTGGAGCGATCAATCGTTAGTATACCTAAAACAAATCAATTCCATAATATCACCAGATTCCTGGTCACTGTTCATATTTCCAGTTGTGGAGACTTTTTCAGTAAATCTGAAAACCAGGTCAAAATTACACCTTCAATGGGAAAAAAAGCTACAAGGGAGTCAGAACAGATTTTTTTTTTTCTTACAGAAGAATAGAATAAAGCAATGGTAAAAGTTATTTGAGGGATTAAAATGAAATAGCTCTGATCTTTGCTGAGTTTCCTGAGACTTGTTAAACATCACCTGTGTGTCACCTGTCACGTACTTGGGGTCTCCCCAGGCTCTCCTGCTGGAGGCGGGTGTGCACCAGGTCTTCTGTTAACTCATCCAGAATGTTCATTTCCTAACATGACATGTGCTTTACTATGTTGCTAGTAGTTCAAAATTTGGCCACATGACAAAACTGTGTGTAACATGGGTTCTTTTAAAGTGTTGATTGAGCACATAATTTAAAAGTGAGAATATTAAATAAACATCTCTGCCCTTTCTTCCAGCAGGCAGCACAGAGAACTGCTCTCCACGCTCTATCTGACAGGTACGTTTTGTCATTTTTATGAACTATGAATTGCTTTATGAAACGTTGAGCCCTATTTATTGTGGCATATAATTCATAATTGGATTTTGTCCCTAAAGTGTCTGTGAACTGGGATGTTAAACATTTTGCATGCTTGGATTTGTCATGCATCTGTGGAGTTTCTTACTGCAAAAATCGCCTTGTTGTATTTCATATAAAGTATGAAGAATCGCTTGTTGTGCAATGAAACAAGAGACAAGAAACTTGGAGGAGAAGGCCTGAGTGGCGCACGGTAAATTCAGAACTTCAGGATTGGTTGAGATCTGAGCTTTTTTTTCAGCAATAAATATTTCATTTATTTTGGGTGTTTTCTTCTGCCCTTTTCCATATCATTTCACGGGGAGCTAGCTGTTTTTTGATGAGATTCTGTCTTGAAATACTTTATGCACATAACCCATCAATTCATGGTCCTGCACGCGTGACTTTTTACTCTTTGCCTTGACTTGTTTCTTCTGACTTGTGTTATTGACTGACATGCAGACCCCTAATCAATAAACGTAGACATAAGCAGTATTTCATATCCTGTTTTGCCTGAAAGGTTGTATGAAGATAGTTGACTAGGGGGAGAGAAAGTTACTTTGTAGAACAAAACAGACCCTTATTTGTTTTGGTTTGGTGTTGGTTTTTCTACATACTAAAGTTGGGGGGGAGGTATGCGTGTGTGTTCGTGTGTGTGTGAGTGTGCACATGTGTGTGCATGTTTGTGCATTGAAGAACTGTCAGGAGCCCCTGTTTCTCTCCACAAATAGGTATTTACAGTGTTAGAAACAGCTTGGGGGAGATGTTCCCCTTGCCTGGCTGGAAGCCACCTCAGTATTGGCTCGCCAACCTTCACCCCCTCCCTTCCTTCCCAGTTCTTTCTTTGTGCAAAAGCAGTAATTGACTTTGTAAACCAGCTCAGTTCAGTGCTTCTCCAAGGCAAAACCTGTCACTTAGGTGGAATTATCTGGTGTGTATGGGTGAAAAGCATGTTCTCTATGGCAGCAGGCTGAGCCTGAGTATTTTTATTTCAATTGAAAAGCCTTCCCCATGACAACCACACAAGCCTGCATGCTCTCAGAGCGGCTGCCATGTGATCTTCTGGAATTGCTTCTGGGATTTTCACAAAAGCTGATAACTGTACTGCTTCTGAGTCTGTTGGTAGAAGGAGGAGAGACTCTGAATCAAAACACATTTGAAATCTGACACAATAATTCCTTTCCGATACGTATTGCCTTTTTCCCTTGGCCTCCTCTTCTTCAGTAAGTGATTCCTTCAACAGAATGTACCAAGAAGCAAGGGAAAGCCCCCGGTTTAAAATATGATGTCATTGCTAATGGGTACAAGGTTCTTTTTGGAGTGATGACAATGTTTTAAAATTAGATTATGGTGATGGTTGCACAACTCTGTAAATATACTAACAACCTTTGAACTGTACACGTTAAGTGGGTGACCTTTGTGGTATATAAATTATATTTCAATAAAGCTGTTTAAATATATGTATGTATATATACATACGTATGTGTGTATATATGGGTAAATGTACATATACATATATGCATACATACATATATATATATAAATGACATGTATATAGATCATTATGATCTACAGTAGAATGGATCAAAACCAATTTTAGGAAAATATAGACTCCCTTTGAAGACATGGCTGCAAACACGAAGATAAGTCACCTTATACTAGGACTTATATATGCTAAGCTTCTTCCCAAAAGCTGCATAGTTCTGTCCTGAGTAGGAAATGTGCATAGATTGTAATGATGAGCAATACTATTCCCTGTGACTTTTTTCTGATATTCTCTCTAAAACCTCAAGTCAAGCCCAAGTAAATTAGCATTGTAACCCCTGCCAGCAATGTAACCGCTAAGTGCAGAATAATGAGCCCTGGTGGCACAACGGTTAAACACTTGGCTACTAACCCAAAGATCAGCAGTTCGAACCCTCCAGCTGCTCTGCAGGAGAAAGATGTGACAGTCTGCTTCCAGAAAGGTTACAGCCTTGGAAACCCTATGGGACAGTTCTACTCTGTCCTGTAGGGTCGCTATGAGTCGGAATCGACCCGTGGGCAGCCGGTTTAAGCGCAGAATACTGTGAGACAAAAAGTCCATTGCGTACCCAGAAACCAAAGTTCCCATTGTCACTGCTCTTCTTATCAATCACTCTTTCTTCAAATGTAGTAGGGCGCTTCCCCTGAAATCTAATCATGTTTCTGTTCAGAGTGGTGGGGATTTTTTCCACAAAGAGATTTCAAAGCAATGAGTTGACTTTGTCATACTATTTTAGTAATGCAGTTGTGTAAAACTACCTTCTCTGGGTTTTTCAATTCTACATTTTCCATTTTTTACTAATTCTGGACCACAGGAATAATTTCTGTAAACAAGAAGCATCTGGAATCATTGGGAGATAAAATTTAGAGCCCCATTCTTCAAAACAAGGGCTTGAAAAATACTGGACTCCCATTTTCTAATTTTTTGTAAATTAGAGAATGCTAACTTACAAAGCAACAGATGCCATTTTACATCTGATAACTTCTTCCTGTGAATAAATCACTATTGTCCAGAAACAGGATCAGCGAGGCTCTGTGTTAGACCACTGCATGACTGGTCCGATATTTTGTATGTCAGAGGAAGCTCTAGGGATGGAAGCAAGTAGAGATCCCCCCATATTGTGACCTTTCCAAGGTGGGGACCTCACCCCAATATCTCTGGCTTCTTATAG